CTCAGCTTCCAATGATCACTGAATATAGGTGTCATGAGATCCAAAGGTGTCAGCTTCCAATGGTCACTGAATATATTCATGAGATTCATGTTAGCTCCTGTATCTGTCCATGAGATCCATAGGTGTCAGCTTCCAATGGCCACTGAATATACCTAATGAGATCCATGTCAGCTCCTGTATGTGTCCATGAGATCTAAAGGTGTCAGCTTCCAATGGTCACTGAATATATCTATGAGATTCATGTCAGCTCCTGTATGTGTCCATGAGATCCAAAGGTGTCAGCTTCTAATGGTCACTGAATATATCTATGAGATTCATGTTAGCTCCTGTATGTGTCCATGAGATCCAAAGGTGTCAGCTTCCAATGGCCACTGAATATATCTATGAGATTCATGTTAGCTCCTGTATGTGTCCATGAGATCCAAAGGTGTCAGCTTCTAATGGTCACTGAATATATCTATGAGATTCATGTTAGCTCCTGTATCTGTCTATGAGATCCATAGTTGTCAGCTTCCAATGATCACTGAATATATCTATGAGATTCATGTTAGCTCCTGTATCTGTCCATGAGATCCATAGTTGTCAGCTTCCAATGGTCACTGAATATACCTATGAGATCCATGTAAGCTCCTGTATGTGTCCATGAGATCCAAAGGTGTCAGCTTCCAATGGTCACTGAATATACCTATGAGATCCATGTAAGCTCCTGTATGTGTCCATGAGATCCAAAGGTGTCAGCTTCCAATGGTCACTGAATATATCTATGAGATTCGTGTTAGCTCCTGTATCTGTCCATGAGATCCATAGTTGTCAGCTTCCAATGGTCACTGAATATACCTATGAGATCCATGTAAGCTCCTGTATGTGTCCATGAGATCCAAAGGTGTCCGCTTCCAATGGTCACTGAATATATCTATGAGACTCGTGTAAGCTCCTGTATATGTCCATGAGATCCATAGTTGTCAGCTTCCAATGGTCACTGAATATACCTATGAGATCCATGTAAGCTCCTGTATGTGTCCATGAGATCCAAAGGTGTCAGCTTCCAATAGTCACTGAATATATCTATGAGATTCGTGTAAGCTCCTGTATCTGTCCATGAGATCCATAGTTGTCAGCTTCCAATGGTCACTGAATATACCTATGAGATCCATGTAAGCTCCTGTATGTGTCCATGATATCCATAGGTGTCCGCTTCCAATGGTCACTAAATATATCTATGAGATCCATGTCTGCTCCTGTATGTGTCTATGGTATCCAAAGTTCTCAGCTTCCAATGATCACTGAATATATCTACAGTATGAGATCCTTATTACGATCAGCCCCTGTATGTGTCTATGAGATCCATAGTTCTCAGCTTTCAATGATCACTTGGAATATAGTGAGATCCATAGTTGTCATATTTCAATGGTCACGGTATAATATAACAACGTTAACTCAATCATCGAATATGCAAGTCTACCTAAGGGGGCTATTTTTGGATTTTCCGTCCTGAACACTGTCTTATTAATTAATTACTGGCTTATTAATTTTCCTATGTTTTTCAGTGATATTTTCTCATTGTGCATAAGTTGTAAAAGTAATCTCGAGCACACTAGCCTAAAAATGTATTTTGGATACCATATATTATGCTCGAGGTTTCAATAGTACTCTTTTGCAAAGTTTTTGTGCCTCTGTTATTTTTCTAATTTGGGCACAGATAAATGACACTTTTTGAGAAATTAAATTCATATAATATCGAATTCGTTTTAAAATATTGAAAGTTGCCTTGTTTCGAATACTGTAGAAAATGCAAAGTAATCATTATTGCTCTGTTAAATAATCTTTGAACAGATTGAATTCCCATTCCAACATGCTTTATTTCATTAAAATCAAGACACTAGTGTTAGTCTTTTTTATATAACACAATGTAACACAAAATCTTTATTTCCTTTTTGATTCATTTTTTCTAGTCTTTTTCCTTCTTTGATTTCTACAGTAATTTTTATATTCGAATTTTAAATATCTTTCTTGGTAGCGTGCTCTTCAAAAACTAAAACTTAAATCTTAAAATCTAAATAATTTGATGCAACATTCCTTTTTATAGTCATTTCTGTTAATTAGTTTATAACATTAGCTAAACATATTAGTCGATGATTAAATCGTCGATCGAAAACTGGTACCAAGTTTGGTGTGGGAAAATCATCCAGCTTTCCATCCTGAGACCGACGATTCATCATCGGTACAATTGTTTATATTCTACTCTTAAATATACAGTACATAATACAAATAGACAATACACCATCAACTTGGGTCAGTATAGCGAATACGGTATGTAAGCACATTGTAAGGAAAGGAGAACTTGGACGACTTTTATGATTTGGCATAAGTGTGTCGTGTTTTGGCATACACATGTCGCATTCTGGCATAGTTGTTCATATCATAAGGAAAGGTAGTTTGTTTACATGCGAGGTACAGCTGGTTCCTTGTCTGCAATAATAATGTTGTTTATTTTTATAACCATAACTGTAAAATACATTATTTTCAATATTGTATTATAGTGAGAGTGGTTACAAAGGTGGAATTTCGTATAGAATTATATACTGTAAATATTAATTAGATATGTAATATTAAACATGATCTTATCTAAATATTCATGATAATGGTATTCCTATATCAAATAAGAATACTATGATCATAATGAAGGTCATGGTCACTCTTATGAAATGGATTGATTATTCAGTTGTTGAATGATGAGATTTGTATATTTTATCTAACGTGATAATACTGTTAATAATGGACTGATATTAGAGAGATTTTTCGTTGTCATTTTTCTTGGGAAAACATGGGTTTTCCCTGTATACGCTGTATCGGTGTCTCTGGCTGTATACTAATACAGATTAAGATATTGTATCGTCCCATTATTTCCACATTGTTAAAATTGCATTTTAGCTGATATTGAGAAATAAGAGGATGAAGTTTGGGTCTTCATAACTTTGAGTAGTAATTTTTAAAAACCTGTTTTTTCGGATGGGTAATCATGTGTATCACTCGTTTCGACTCCATGGGACATCCAATTTGCACAGCACTAAATTCTGCCGTACCAGTGAACATTTGGTTAATATAATTTGACTTAATAAGGTTCCAGTAAAAACAAAGGCGGTAAAATAATTTTTCGAACACTGACATGTAATTATTACTTTTTCTAAACATAATTCTATCGGATTCTACCCTTCGCATTCGTTTGATTTCGCTTCTTAAAAGATAACTTTGTTACTTTAGAAATGAGCTGAGAATCTAAATGTTAAAAATCTTACCGAACTCCCATGCAGTGTCTCGGTATGATCACTGCACGGGAGTTTGAAATCTTACAAGCGTAATGGAATTTTGCAAGGGTTGTTAGTTGAGATAAACGCCATAAAACTCGCAGCATCCATTGCGCCAGGCCAGCAGGTAAATAAAGCATCACATAACCCTTACAAAAAATATGAACAAAACGTCATTAATTTCTTTATCTGTAGCATGTTTATATCAAAATATAATTTTCTGAACATACTCGTCTTTCTTAGTTTTCGATAATTTCCTCGCCCCGAAACAAAGGTTAATAATGTAAATGAGTTCACGATGAAACTGGTTTGAAATTGAATTTGTAGGGACAGACTTGAATTGCAGATAAAAACGTCCTAAAATAGAAACGCTTCTGAAGCCAGGTAAACCTATTCGCTTACCCAGATGTAGAAGCCAATGTAACACCTCTTCATGGTGTAAAGCAAATATATAAATGTTATCGAAGGAATGAGACTCTTAGACTTAAAGCACTGTATAAAGATATGACCTAGTCCGGAACTGAGGAAGATGTCTTGGCTTGAATATATAGTAATTATTGTACAGGTAAGAACAGAAAAAACATGATAAATATATAATTTGAAAAAGTATAGAAAATGCGTTTATGAACGCTTACATGATTTCAGGTAGTATTTTGATTTTCTAAGTATTCTATGACAATTTGTAGTATGCACATAAAATTTTGAAAAATGTTACTGTTACATTACATTACGTTTTATTATATCAGTAATTGTAACCATGAAAATCATGCTGTTAACAAAATTTCACAAAAACAGCAACATGCGGAATCAGGGAGAATAGAAACAGCATACTACTCTTATCATAAACCAATTCATAGATAGCCAAATGTTTAGACATGGATATCACACAGACGTAACTGGCCTATTATTAGAAACCCAGGTCCGAAACCATACAATAAACATCTCGATTCACGAGGTTTCCCTTGCTCTAGAGACCAAGTGGAAAGCGACGATGTACAATAAAGTTTGGAAAATAAAACATTTTGAGAGCAACAAAGAAAATGTAGATATTAGTGAAAAGGATCAAGAAATATTAATGGAGGATAATGATACCTCTTAAATGTTAATCCGTACGTGAAGTATAGTTATACATTGGATTGGTGTTTGCTCTTCACGTGTTCATATAGTTACGTGCATTCATAGGAATCCACATCGGATATACTGTAGATGTGTTGAAATTTAAAGTCTGTTCGGCAAAAACATAATATCCCAAAAACGAAAGAATATTGAGGCATTTTTGGCCAAAATAGTTTAATCAAAGTCTATAATAAAGAATTGAAGTATTAAATCGAAAAACAAAAATGTACTCACTGTGGTAGTCTTGCTCCAAAACGGTGTACCCCTCCCATTTACTTCACCTTTAATGTGTGTTGTGCTGGGAAGATGAAGTACTTAAGGGGGGTATACAGTCTTGGGGCAAGACTACTCACTCGAGAAATTTGCAATTACGTGCAGATTAAAATGCGCAACTTTAAATATTATGAATTGTTATATTTTCAGATTGCCTTGAGAGACCCTTGTCTATTTATATAGTATACTAGTAAACATTAATATCCAAGTTTTAGTTTTGAGCTAAAGCGGAGATATTCTTATCACCCGAGCAAACATCAGATTATCCGTGCAATATATAATACTGCAAAGAATTTACAGTATATGGGGGAAATCAATAAAGAGTGGAGTCATTTAAATCAGTTAATCAAATGATATAACAATGCCAACGTGTATTTCGAGATGTGAGGTGAACATCAAGCCGAATCTCGTGACATACTTCTCTACATACAGACATCATTTCATATCAGTGAATGCAATTTTGTTGAGGCCATCAGGAATTAGTGAACGTGAATTAGAAAATAGAAAGGGTAAAATAACAACAGAAATTAGAAACAGTGAAATACAATCAGAAAATAGAAACAGTGAAATACCATTAGAAAAGATGGACATACAATCAGAAATTACAAACAGTGCAATACCATCAGAAATTGAAAAAAGTGAAATATCATTAGAAAATAGATTTCCCGACTCACCACCGGAAACAACAAACAACGGAATATCATCGAAAACAACAAACGGTGGATTACCATCAGAAACAACAAACAATGGATTATCATCGGAAACAACAAACAGCGAATCATCATCGGAAATGATAAACAGTGGATTACCAACGGAAACAACAAACATCGGAATATCCTTGGAAATGCTAAACAGAGAAATACCACCAAAAGCTTTTAAAAGTGAATTTTCGGAATCATCATTCAAAGTTAACAATGAAATTCCACCAGAAAATACTATCAGTACTGTACAATTGATAACAAGTGATCAGTTACAAGAAACCAGTTCCGAATCAGAAACTGTAACACCAGTAAATGATACAAAACAGCTAGGAATAATGAAGATTGTTGGTGACAAAGATCAAGGTGCAGATGCTGATGTAACATTTGGTGAAGACGAGGACGGAAACAGCGAACTACATGTCAGCTCAGCTGGTGGTGAATTCCACAAAGTTAAACAAATTCTACAAATGAAGGGATCACAACAGTTCACAAGGCACACGAACCTGAAGAGGCAGACAGCTTTCATATACGCAGCATATCAGTCCAATAAATTACAAGATGAGAGAATTTTGTGCCCTATATTTTTACACCTTCTCCAAGCTGGTATCGATGGTCAACAGGATTATCTTGGTAACACTGCCTTGAACTACACTGCTCGCTACGGTCACACAACTCTGGTACGTTTGCTACTTGAAAATGGAGGGAAACCGAGTTCAAGGAATTTTTCTAACAGAACACCTTTACTTGATGTGTTGGATTTTTTAATATCCCAACCACGTAAACGGGAACAACTAACTGACATTATCAAACTTCTTGTGGCTAAAATGGAGCCGAATGACCTAGATTGTAAAGATATTAATGGAATTGCAGCGCTTCATAAGCTGGTACAAAGTGACATGCCGAACGAGGTGAAGTTAGTACTAGAGTGTGGAGCTGATCCTGATATACCTGACAATAACCACAATACTCCTCTGTTACTAGCCATTGACCATGGCGCCACTCTATGTGCAATGTACCTTATCCATGCAAATTGCGATATCAACAAAAAAGGACGCAGTTTGTGCTTTCTGCGTAAGTCAATGACACCTCTAGAGAGTGCAATACGTGTCCATTGCTTTGACATCGCAAAAATGCTGATTTTGGAAAACTGTGATAAGACATTTTTACGTCAACTACTCAAAGCGCGTAATCCAACAGGAAGACCGTGTAGGAATCCTATCATAAAAGAATTCATGCTGTGGGTGCAGCAGCATCTAGAACAACAGAACATCCACCATGCTGCTTCCTTACAGGAAATCTGTAAATCCAAGATTCGGGGACATTTCAGGGTGGGAGTGTATATGAAAACACGGAAACTACCTCTACCAAGGATGTTACAGGACTTCATACTAGAGATGGACACATATGATTGCGCTACAGTGTCATCACAAATCTGATTCTAACACAAATTGATTCAAAGGTGGCTGTGTAAAAGGGTAGGGGGTCCTTTCAAATTATGGTCCTACTTTCCAGTGATTTATATGGTAACCTAAATACAACTCTCTCCCTTATTGTCGTATCCACAATCAGGGACAGTAAGGGCCTTTAAAAAGGGGGACCATAATCCCTGGGGGACCATAATTTATTTCACATCGGGTTTGTCTAGCAGCAATCAAGCTTGTAAACATTAAACTAGCACACTGCTGCACATACTTCTAGAAAATATGTTTGGTGGTATTGAGAAAATAATGTGTATTACAATTTAGATTGGAGTATTTGTAATCTCATAACACATGTTATGCTAACTTGTGTGTTTCAAATTTTTAAAAAAAATTCAATAAATCAAAAATAAGAATGACTCGGATTTATTTTGTTTTCAATTATTTGAATCTTTGGATATGACGTCTTTACGGTTTTCAATAATTTCGTATTCTGGATCCGAACTACACAACTACCTACAAAGGAATGATCGATTGAGACATTGTAGCTTTCTTGTTGGTAAACGGCATGATAATTTAGAATCCAGCAATTGAGTTGATACAATAGTTTTCGAGATATCATTGTAAGAGTCGAGTGTCTGTTTTTTGGCTAATTCTCAATGGTGTCTTTGAACCATGAAAACATGTCAAACAGCAAAGAGAATGAAAGTCTAACGTCTCCCATTCCATTTACCGCACTATCCCATGTATACATCTTCCAAAGCAAGTGGATTTCTACAAGACAGACTCCAGTAACGCCATCCAAGGAGCCACACATTCATCTGAACATTTGACACCATCTTTGTAGCATATCAATTAAACCATCATTATTATCTGATTCAAACTTTTAAGTCACATTAAAAAGACAGATAGATTGATCGTTGGTCTTAAAAACATCATAAATATAAGCTCAGTTGACTTGGATATCAGAATCCATTGACATGCTTTTCTCGTGAGTCTATATTCTATGATGTCAAAAATAACAAGGCATTAGAGTGCAAATTGTCACCACCTGCCATTTGTTAAAGAGCACCGACCGCCGAACACCAATTGACGAACATCATCCACAAAAAATGCGGAGACTATATAACAATGTCACTACCTACCATTTGTTACATTTGTTATATAGGTTATTATAATGCCAAACACCATCCACAGAAAAGTTGGAGACTATATAACAAAATGTCACCACTTGTGGTGTTGACATAAAAACCTGTAGGCCTCTTTTACCACTCCATAGTAAAAAAAATTAGGGAATTACTTTGATAAAATGTATTTGTGTTCTTTTTATACATCAATTAATATGAATATATATATTTATAATCTCATTATTTAAATTACGTTGTTATGCATTTTGAATAAATACACATATAGGCCAAGCAAATGGGCTCATAAAAGGCCCAAACATCCCAAAAATTGCAACAGTTTTTAAATTAGTCTTATATTGTGTATTAATATCAGTTGAAAAACATATCAAAAATATAGAAAAATGTATGCAGTGGACAAATATGAAATTTCACTTCCTAGGTACCCCCTACAACCCTACCCCAAAATTGAGTATTGGTAGGAAACAATTTTTTCTTCCCAAATGGAATACTTTAGTCAAGTATTCAAGCTTTATTATGATAGATCACATATTCACAAATAATTAAAATATTATTTTAATTAATTTTGAGACCAGTAATTGGTCATTTGACCCCAAAGTATAACAAAATAGGCCACAAAACAGGCATGTTATCACATATCTATTTAGATATTTTAGGATCAGTTTGTCAGAAAAGCATGAAAAAAATCATGGTGTTACATATTCATATGAACTTCATATTTGGCGAGTGTCAGAATTCTAAGGTGTATACTTAGGAAAAAAAAAATTATTTCATTTTCATAGTTTTGCCCCGCCCACTATGGGGGAGACTATAGTTTTGATGATTAACTCCCACAATGCATCACATTTGTATTAGAGTTGACATCTAAATCATTTATATAGGCTTGTCATCATCTCAAATACAAGTTTTGTGAAGGTTTATACCTTATTAGTATGAAAAATAGGAATTATTAGTTGCACCAGGTGAAATGTTAAGGTGACCTCACTTTTATTTGTTGAATAATTACATATAACCACTCTGATATTAGGATATTTGATAACTGCTCTATACTAGGCTTATATAAATAATGTAAGTTGTAGTTTTTGTGGAATTTAATATTGTTTAAATTATTAATTACAATCCGCAATTACAAAATTTGCATATATTTAAATTCATCAGATAAATAAATCATTACATAAGAGTACATTACTATGGAACTATCAATTGGATGTATAATGCTGTAGAAACGAATTTATGGTTATTAAACGGAATTTAAACTGACAGAGAACATTAAAATCTCAGATATCTGGGGAGTCTTTCATTAATATAATTTCAGTGCATAGGAATGATGGTAATTCTGTCTGTCAGGTTGGAAAACATTGAGTGTACATGTGCTGCATTCAGAATCGGATGCAGATATTGTGATTGTGAAAACTGCAATCCAAAGTGTCTAAACCTCAAATACAGTACTCATACAGATCTCCTTGTGCTTCTCATTTATCATGCAAAAAACACATACTTCAATATTTTCTTCAAACCTGAACCAAAAGCAGCAACCCAAGAAACAAAATGTTGGAATATAAATGAAATAAGATTGTCTTTGGAAAAGTGGTCTGTGACAATATTTTGTTTCTTTTCTGGGGTGTGACATCGCATTCAGGTTATATATGGCATAGACAAAAGGCTATCATTGAGGCAGATAAAAAATAGTGAGTTCTTGAGAAAAAAGCGGTTGTTTTTAAATTACCAAAAGCTCTGGTGATCCGCTCGATTACGCTTGTCGTTTCGGTAACAAAATGTCTAAACGTCGAAAGTACGATATTTCTTTTTTCCTTTTTTTACACGCGTTGTAGGCAGAATCCCCACGATGTTTTTTTTCTCACAGAATTGTTAATTTAATTCCTTACTTAAGTTAAATAAACGGTTTGGGTTAAAAGTGCAGATCTTAATTGTTTATCGAAATACCGTTTATGTAACTTAAGTGAGGAATTAAATCGAAGATTCTGTTGTCTTCTGAACTATTTGTTCGCAAATATGTACATTTTTTAAACATATAATACTGATACATTTTTGTGATAACAATGCTGTGGGAATTCTGCCTACAATGTGTGAAATAAAGAAAAAAGAAAAATCAAACCTTCGACGTTCCGACATTTTGTTACAACGTAAACAAGTAGAAAACCAGTGAAATGCAAGCAACTCTGTCATTGCAGAGGAACATGCTCTTTTGTCAATTTATGGTGGAAAAATGGTGAAATCCTAAATTATCTTAGGCTTCTAAAATTCTATTAAAAGAGAGCAGCAAGATCTGAATTATTGCAGCCCCGTGTTCTTCCTCCATTTTCTGATGCTGCGGAATACCACAGTTACAGAGTGTACCATCAGATCCAGGAGTGGGAGGGAAATAAACTGCCTCCATTATAATTGGGCTGGGAAATTAGCAACGAAACTATGTACCAATTGCCCAAATGCAGCTCCCCTTTCTCAGAGATCATCCATTGTGTGTGTAAGGCAGATTGTATTTCTATGAGATGTTCTTGTAGAAAAATGAAATAACTGTTCTTTGACATGTAAGGTATGCAAAGGCATTTGTGCAAATACCTCCATTACTGATCATGAGAATAATGATGACTAAATAATGAACACTGGCAGATCTGGGCCCCTTCCATCCCCTTGGGCGGGCCCAGAAAAAAAATTGGGCCCAAAAAGGCCTTAAGGCCCCGAAAAGTGGGCCTTTTTGGTCATAAATGGGCCTTTTAAAGCCTTATTTTTTAATTGAAGAAAATGGGTCTAAATATTTCAAAATTTGGGCCCACTTCAGGGTTTTAGGGGCCCAAAATTTTTTCCGCGGAAGTTTTTTTCTCAGACCTGACATTTGCCCCCCCCCCCCTTGTTGGTTCCCATATCCGCCCCTGATGAGGGCTGGTGATAGACAAGGTTGTAACTGATTGATGTTACAACATAATAGTATTAAGCTTATTTAATCAGCATTATTTTTTGCTCTCTATAAGTAAGACACATATATGAAGGTTAAGATTACAAAATTAAGGCAGCATTTTTGATAATGAACATAACATAATCGAACCAGGCCCTGTATAAAGAGATTTACTTTGCGTTACACTAGTTAACTCAGGAGGATTTATTAATGTAGAAACCCTTTCCTCATTTTTTATTGAATTTCATCTTGAAATCGAACATTCTTCAGTTGAACTTCTTCATTTCATTTCTCAATATCACTGTGTGGTTAAGAACACCTTAGTCAAAAGAAACAATTTTTCCTTAATACAGGGCGAGCCAAAAAGGTAACCCAAACAAATCTTAATAATCCAGTCCAACCATCCTGCATGGATTTAGTGTCATATTTGGCAGAATTGAGTCTTGGTAAATGTTTTATTAATCTACCCAGTCTCAGTGGTCTCTAGTGGTCACGATTTTATGACCATTTTATACCATGCCATGAAATATGGGTGGCATGCCTGGAGGCCAACTTGAACGTATCGTGCGTTGTTGTTCAAATCAGGAGCATAAAAATCATGTGTTATGACTCTCATCTTCATTCTTATCTCTTGTTTTAATGTTTCAAGTGTTGTTAGTATCGAAAAAAGGTCCACAGATAAAAAAAAACTGGTGGTATTGATGTCCAGTCAGTTAGGCACATTTCGATATTTTGAGCACATTTTGTAAATGGCCATAAAATCGTGACTATTAAGGATAGATCAATGACACTTAGTAGAATGAAAGAACATTGAACAAGGTAATTGTGCCAAATATGATGTCAAATACATGCTGAATGACTGGGTTATTAACAAACATTTGGTTGGGTTACCTTTTTTGGCTCATATTAATAAACTGATGTCAGGGACAGGGATATTTAACATTTTGTTGCCTTTTCAAGGACATTTTTTGACCACTGATTGTAACAAATCGTTCTCTGTTTTACCAAAAAAGGTATATTATATATCAAATTGAATTTAAAAGGAAAAACATTTAATAATTTAACAGTTATCAACTAAAAGTAGGGCTTCCCCTATATTTCACCTGGCATTTGCTGTTTTTCTACTTTTTTTACATAATCCTTTCCTGAAAACCTCAAAAAACTGTTTTCAGGACAAAATAAACCTTTACAAATAATTTAGTTGTGCTATTGAGTTCAAATATGACATATCTTGGAAGTAATTAAACAAAAGTAAGGTCACCCCAAAAGTGGGTGTGGTAAAATATTGAAATTTCAAATATTATTTTCACGCTGAATGTTCACTTAATGACCCTGATACTTATCAAAGACAATGTTCAGGTGTA